AGTGAAGGAATAAGAGATAAATCTCAGCTGACATTAATCATCTTCATGTAAACAATCTACAAAAACGTGAACTGCGAAAACGATCAATCTTTAGTCGCGTATTGAGAAAAAAAGTACTTAAAAAAATTGATTTGTGGAATATAAAGTTTATTCACGAAAATAAATTTTATTTCATTGAAAAATAAACTTTATATGCCACAAATAAATTATCAAATATTTCTTTCTCAATACACGACTTAAAAGACGAGATAATGATGTGATTTATATTATTGCTATAATATTTGTCGCACGTTATTTCGTAAATATAAAGCAATCAATATCAAAGATCGTTCCGCACATACATGCGGAAGTAAGAATAATTCGACACGTCGATATCGGCGGAATGTGACGACATCGGCTGCTTCCAGTAAAGCCTCAGTCAGATGTTTCAAGTTCGATCTACAATATGCTTTTTGTTTCCTGTTTCTTGTTTACTATCTTTTTCTGGCTAAAGTTTAAAGCCTGATCTACAATATGCTCTTTGCGTTTTGTTCTTGTCTTCTATCTTTTTCTAGCTTCAAGCTTAAGATTTGACTAAGAAAGAGATAAAGAGAAAGAAGCAGGAAACAAAGAACACATTATAGATCAAGCTTAAAAGTTCAAGTCAGAAAGAGATAAAAAGAAAGAAACAGAAAACAAAGAATATATTATAGATCTAGACTCAAGCCTGATCTACAATGTGTTCTTTGCTTCCTATTTCTTGTTTTCTGTCTTTTTTTAGTTTAAGGGTTAAAGTTTGAATCAGAAAGAAAAAGTAACAGGAAGCAAATAACACATTATAAATCAAGCTTTAAACTTGAAGTTTAAACTTAAAGTTTAAAGCTTGATCTATAATGTGTTATTTGCTTCCTGCTTCTTTCTCTTTATCTCTTTCTGACTCAAACTTTAAGCTTTAAGCCAGAAAAAGATAGAAGACAAGAAACAGAATGCAAAGAGCATATTGTAGATCAAGCTTTAAGCTAAAAAAAGACAGAAGACAAGAAACAGAATGCAAAGAGCATATTGTAGATCAAGCTTTAAGCTAAAAAAAGACAGAAGACAAGAAACAGAATGCAAAGAGCATATTGTAGATCAAGCTTTAAGCTAAAAAAAGACAGAAGACAAGAAACAGAATGCAAAGAGCATATTGTAGATCAGGCTTTAAGCCTGATCTACAATATGCTCTTTGCGTTCTGTTTCTTGTCTTCTATCTTTTTCTGGCTTACAGCTTAAGGTTTGAGTCAGAAAGAGATAAAGAGAAAAAAGCAGGAAGCGAAGAGCATATTGTAGATCAAGCTTTACAGTCAAACGTGACAAAACACGATCTCTTAGCAGTTTCGGCCTAACCGCCGTGACATGTTTTAACACATTGTCCAACTTAGTTGAAAGGGCTAACGTATAATAAAGCCTGAAAACCAAGTAAAATATAGAGAAGAAGAGGATCTCTTAGTACGCGGCGGGCAGCGTTTGTTTACATCGGCATTTAGGGTTGAGGCAGAGAACGAGACGTAAGCGTCGTAGTCGTAGACATAAAGTAAGGCAGAGAAAAACGTAAATATAAGATTAATAGCCTTTCATGACATATATTTACGTTTTTCTCTGCCTTACTTTACGTCTACGACTACGACACTTATGTCTCGTTCTCTGCCTTAGCTCTTACTGTTTTGTTCACATGTAACCAGTCGTATACGCGATTTCTCTATTACGATTTTAATTCAATCGAATTTATTAGTGCAACACTTGAAACACGCGAAAGTACCATGTTGACGTTTTCATTGTTAAGTGCCCGCTGAGCTCCATCTGAACTCGCTTTCGCCACTTACAACTTTCGAGCGTATTGCCACTGTCGGTAATATCCGTCGCGTCTATACCCGTTATGTCGATATCTGTTACCGACCAAGTATTGTTAAAGTATCTAGATCTCTAACGCGGATTTCTGAGACGCCTACACAGATTATTCATATATTACAAAAAGAAACGCACAATATTTATCTCGAGTCTACAGTGAGCAACAATGTTTCCCGCATTTCACGTCCCGTTTTCTGAATCGATTCTTACCCACACAGCACGTAATATTATATAATATCACAGTAATATTTCCGTAATATTGTAATATCGCAGAAATATTATTGAAATATTACTGTGACATTATATATATTACGTGCTGTGTGAGTACTATGTTTAAGGCTCTTTCTCCGATATTCTGGAGATATTGCTTGATATCGAAATAGGCAACTTACAAAGATTGTGGCTCTGCTTCTTTGTCACTTATATTGGACGACTGGAAGACGTAGAGTACAGCGATGTTGACTCGAAAACATAACCTGGCGACTGTCCCGCTCGGCTGTTCCGGTAGATCCTGTCCCAGCGAACAAGATAGCGACGTGGCATCATAAAGATGTTTTGTGCACTTGATAACGTCTTGATACACTAAACGCGCGAGATTCACTTTCGGCACTCCCGACGTCCGAGATGCGAAGCCGAACTTGAGTAGCTCGAGGATCGCCAAAATTTGAACCACAACCGCCATTGCAAAAACGCGCGATTTTTCACTCGGCGTTACCAATCGACTATTTCGCGAGATACGTGCACTCGACGGTTGCGGCGCGATATTTCAACATGATCAATGCAAAATACTCACGCTCAGCATTCCCGGCGTGGTCATTTCGGGTGCGAGACTCATCCTCGAGCGGAATCGCCAGTGAAATTCGAAACTCGGCTTCTCAAATCCGCAACGCCGTACACCGGCTATTCCACTATCAACTGAACAGTACTGCGATTGAGATACGCGAGCGTCGCGACGCGCATGCGCGAGCGATCGTTTTCAGTCAGCCTGACTTGTTTACGTAGATCACGCGATCTAAACTATTCAAAATATTCCTGAAGGCTCGAATATTCGACATATAAAAATACAGTATGTAATTAAGAGATAGTTGTTAATCGTAGACCTCAATTATAATTTCGGGATTGCTCGAATAGTCTGTCAAAAATCCACTACCGGCAAGTATCACGTGATCGTAACGTCACTTCCATTAACTGTTGCTGCTCGGCGGTTCGGACTCGAATGCGATCGTTCCTGTGTTCGTCGCGTCCTTTTTCCCGTTGAGAGCAAGTATCGTGCGCGAGTGACTGTCGTAAATACAAAGTCAAGTGACAGTCGACCCGCGCGAATTCGTTAAGGACGATGTCTGACAATATTTCGAATCGGTGTCCACCGCGTCGCGTCGTGTCATGTCGCGCTGCTAAACAGTGCCGTGTGCAACATGGGGAACCCGCCATTTCTTCTGTTTGGCGAAATAAATGGAGATCCGACTCTTGTACTGCGCTTCCGTGCTTCGGTGAGTACGTATTTCTGTCACATTACCGTGTCGAGTCGGCTATGTTGTCAGGAGTAAAGTAACAATATACATAGATGGGGGGGAGGAAATGTCTTGTCATTTTTCTTTTCGATTTTGGTGTATTTTTCGACGATTTTGAGAGCCAGTGCACTGAAGCGTGAATTATTTAACGGTGTTCATAATGTAATAATAGAATGTAATGCAAGATATGTTAATGACTAAAGAAATGAAGTTGGGGAAGAGGAACATAAGATCTCTCTCTCTCTCTCTCCCCCCTCCCTCTCTCTCTCTCTCTCTCTCTCTCTCTCTCTCTCTCTCTCTCTCTCTCT